CTCCTATCCCTCTGTCCAATTGTCCCCTCTGCTCATATCTTAAAATAGCTCTCATTGTGTCACTGTCACCACAGCACTTTTGTGTGTCTCCACTGCCTGTAGCAGCTGGCTTCATGGTACTGTTACCTGGGGAGATATTAAAGCCCTTGTGCCCACCACACACCCCAATTTCTCCAATTGTACTCTGTCAAAATTTAGCAGGTGATTGTAGGGTGCAGCTAGGCTTGAGAGCCATTGGTCTAGAGAATGTCACTATAGTCAAAGGAATCAACAAAGAAGTAGAGTGATTTAAGTCACTGGTTTTCACCTGGGGGTAACTGCACTTCCAGGACACGTTGGCAATGTGTTTGGTTTTGGAAACTGGGGTGGTGATATTGGCATATAATGAAGAGAGGCCAGGGGTGTTACGAAACATCTACAGTAAGTTCCTGGACAGCCCTTGCAGCAAAGCAGATCCAACCCCAAGCCACTCATGCTAAGACTGAGCAAACCTGCTACACGAGATGGGAGAGAGGCAGCAGTGCTGACCTTGCCTAGAGATGGACAGCAGTGGTCCCTGCCAGCAAGGAAGACACACGTGCCGCCCCATGCAGTGTACCCTGCTGTGTCCATTTCTTAGTCCAAGCACTGAAGCTTTCTTTTCTTGCTACACCTGCCTCCAGTGACCCCTCGGCCCACTGCCACCGAAGGTATTCTCTTCCCCACTTTTTGGAAATGAGGTCTAGTGAAGGGGCTTTTTGCTGTGGGAGGGAGTCTCATCACACCTCAAGCTGGCTTCTGCCAAACTCAGTGATCACTGCTTTGGCAGCTGCCAAAGCTCTTAATGAGGACACTGCCAGTCATTAACTGAACAACTGATTAGGGTGGGAAGCAGTTGGCCGGGAAGAGACAAATGCATGTGCTTGCAGTTACTGGTGCTGACCAGCTTGACCCAGTGGCCTCCCTGGGAACATGCTGCACCATGAGAGAAATGCTGCCGGTGACGCTGTGTGCTCAGAAGCTTCACAGTGGCTACGTCATCTGCTTCAGCTCTGAGCTGTGTGCATTGTCATTGCCCATAAAGGACAGAAAGGCCGGTATGTAGGAAGCATGAAGGAAGGACACCAAGAAAGAGTAAGGGGAGCATGACGTCAACAGGCATTTCTCAAAAGCCCACTTGAGATGAAAAAGTGTTTGTGCAAATGGAGGGCAAAGACATTGCCCATTAATAATGCTGTGGGAAAGCCTAATTACGGAAAGGGCCCACCTTAGGCAGTCGTATTCTATACTTCTGGCCCTGTTCTCTGTTTCTAGTTTCTGTTTTTTAAACTCAGGCAATATTTTAAATAGCATGGAATTATTAATATTTTGGATATTTCTTCTAAATAAAAATGTATTTTGGACCTTAGATATATTGCTTAAGAATTCTTAGCTGGGTGGAGTAGTGCGTGCCTAGAATTCCAGCCCTCTTGGAGGCTGAAGAAAGAGGATTGCAAGTTTGAATCCAGCGCTATCTCAGACCACAAAAGGGCTGGAGAGTAGCTCAGTGCAAAGGCCCTGGGTTCATTCCTAGTATTGGGAGAAAGAGAGAGAGAGAGAGAGAGAGAGAGAGAGAGAGAGAGAGAGAGGTTTATGGTCTATTTAATTCTCATTTCTCCAAGGAAAGAGAAGATCCAGATATTTGCTACTACTGCTATAAGTAACGTGGCAATAGTCATTCACCAAAAATAATCAAAATAGTTACTCAACCAAAAACTTGAAATGATTTATTTTAAATTCTTTTCCAGTAGGGATTTTTACCCTGATTGTGAAGAGAAGTTCCTCAGTTCTGGCACTATTGTGCAGAGTATTTGTTTCCTTTGTGGGGCAGTGGGAAGGCCATGCCAGCCCATTGTGCATATTACATAAATGTTCTATAAAACATGAAAATCGCACAGCAATTAATAGCTTGAAGGAATTTAAAGACATCTCTCTTGGTGATTGATGACTCCTTACTGAGGAGTCATTTTGAGGCCCAAAGAGACTGAAAGGGCAATTCCAGAACACTGGGCCACGCAGGAATTGGCTATGAGCTGTGTGGGGCGGGGGAGAGCGACACGTATGAGACCTGTGCACTGCTCAGTGAGCGGCCCTCTGGCTCAACAGCCACGGAGCGCAGAGTAGTGCACACAGTGGGTCCTAAGGGCCGTCCCCTCTGCCCTCTCACTGTCACTGTGGCACCATAGAACTTGCACTGGGTGGGAGTGGCCCACTTTGGAAGAGTTCTCTGTGTGCCCTTGGCCTGGGGGGTCACCTGGAGTGGGCGGTGATCATGCCTGTGTCTGTGCTGCTTGTAGACCTTAGCACTCGGCAGGCCACCTGTGCTCCTTAACTGAGCAGCCGCAATCCTGCGGGAGGCTGCCAGATCCACAAGAGGAACCATGTGAATCTGCCGGTCCTCGCTGGCAGTATCACAGTGTCACATGGTTTCATGGCATGTACCCACTTTGCGGCAGTATTCTTATTACTACTTTCAGAAGCATCTGTACTGTCTTGCCACATGGGGCTCAGAAAAACATTTTCGGTTCTAGGAGACATTTGTCATATTATGCATTCATTCTGTCCAGCTTTTTGGGTCATACATAGACACATACCTGGAAGATATCAGAAGCATATTCAGTTTTCTCTCAGGTTGTTGACAGTTTTTCTATGACTATTTTTCAATTCAAATGGTTTCTCATATAAACATCAATGAGATTTTGAAGCTGATTGTGAATTGGGACAATGGTAACTACTAGAATTGCCATACATCATTGCCCTAATGAAGATGGTGAAGTTGTTAATAAGGTAAAAGTGATGAATTATTCATCTTCCTGTAGCTCTTCAGAGGGAAAGTAGATGAAAGTGGCAACCTGAGGATTTGTGACTATTTCATGCAGTTGATTTTGTGTCACTATGATACAGAGCTAAGACTTGTCCTTACATGTCTCCAACAGGTAAGTGACCCAGGGAAATAATAGCATTTTTAAAGTGTTTCTTTTTAAGCTTACTTTGGCTAATAATAAAAATTGACTTTGAGATGTACAAAAAAGAATGTCTTCCATATTCTGCTTGTATCAATATTAAAATAATATTTTTAGCCCAGTACAGTGTTCTATGCCTGCTACTGGGGAGGCTAATGCAGGAGGATCACTTGAGCCCAGGAATTCAAGGCCAGCCTGGGCAACATAGCAAGACTGTTGATAGATAAATAAATAGATAGATGATACATGGGTAGATAGACAGATGGACAGATAAAATTTTAGTCAATACCCTAAAATTAGTACACTTTGCTAGTAATAGAATTGAATGACTTCATTAGACACTTAAAAGAAAAACAATAGCTCCGCTAATCACAATTTTCTTTTGTGTTCAATTGGATTGTGTTTTGGTTTTAATTTTTGTTTGCACTGCCAAGAGAAACAAGCCTGTCACACACCAGTTCTTGCCTCTTTTTGGACCTGAGTACTTTTTGCAAAGTATGCTTAAAGCTTTCCCATTAGGGCACTTCATAGGCTTTTCCCATGAACATGAAGGTAGTTATAGCACAAAGGACTCTTGTTGTTTTCCTCCTAGAGTCTCCATTTTAGGCTGCCATGTCTCTGGATCCCCTCACTAGGAGACAATAAAATTGGCCGAGGCCACCATCTAAGGGAATAGTTGATTGTGGACATGATCTTCTAGGACAATGGGGAAAATGAGATGTAAAACTAAAGGGAAAGGTTGAAGCAGGCTCAGCTGGTTTTCTAAATCTTTTCTTGTTAAACAAGCCAAAGGTATTGAATGTTAGGTTTGGGGGATTATCTAAAACCAATGCAATAAAAGATCAGGTTGTTAGAGGATTTTGATTCCGAATCTTCCACGGTTTTCTTAAAGTGTTGGGCAACAAACCCAGCAAACTCTGGGAAGCAGTGTTAGCAGAGAGATATTCTGCAGTTTGCCCTGCCTCTGGGGTGGGTGTTAAGCATGGCGAAGTTGCAGAGGCAGTCAGGTCAGGGACCAGGGACCCCTCGCCCCGTGGTTATCTAGCGTCCTCTTCCTAGTTCGTGTGAGTTTCTGAAATTTTTTTAATAGGGAAGGTGGAGGTAAGCAGGATAGTCAAATGCATTAGAAATGGTATAGAAATTGGCAGTGGTGGTGAATATACAGCTCATAATCCTAATCAAGGCTTACATGCTGGGGTAGGCTAAGTGTGTCGGTCCAGTAGTGTCTGGGTCTGCTGGAAGGCTTGTGAAATCAGTGATCGAAATCCTCACTACAGATACTGTAGCCTCTGGGATGAGCGTTGAAAGTGCTCTTGTAAACACTCATTTCATTTTGAGTGAGGGGCTTTAACAAAACCCCACCCAGAAGGAACTACACCGAATTTAAAAAGACTCTGGCTTTTCATTCAAAAACCAGCACAACGCCAGTTAGCTGTACTGTTAACCTGCAATACTTATTTTTAAGTAAGGAAGGTGCCTTTTTTAAACAGGGCTTCGGCTTAAAGTTTCTCCTACTATCATGTATATTACCTGCTGACAAAGGAGTGTATTCTACTGCTGAATCCCTGCATCGCTACTGTTAAATCCATATTGGGCTTTTCTTCCCACATAGGGACTGGCCATCTTTAATATATATTTAAATAAAATTAACCGACCTACCTAGACATTGGGTGAAAGAGTAACATTTTAAACAGCAAATACAATGCAAACCATGGGCACATCCTTTGGATATGTTTTACTTGTGTTTGGGGATAAATGGAGGAAGTAAAATTGCGATGGCCCATAAAGGGGTAGCATGAGAAAGAGGACGCACATTCTCCCTGGAGACGACATACATCGTGGCCAACCAAGTCACGTGGTGGGAGGGGGCTCTTTACTTTCTCCTCCACAGCCCTTCCTCTGATGTCACAAATCTATTCTTTCCTGGGAGAATTAATTAGTATTCACTGGGTGCAGTTGGCAAGAAGAAAGGAGGGAGGGGAGAGAGAGAGAGAGATCTTAAGAAAGAGAGCAAGAAGCAAGAGGCTGTGGGGGAGCAGATCCTCCCCCAGCCGCACTGAGAGTGGGGGGTACAGTCGGGCGCAGAATGGCTGTTTTATAACTGGGATCCTCGCTGACGTATGGCTGCCTGCTCCTTGGCAGCTGTCTTTATGGACCAGTAGGCAGAGCGAAATTGACGCTGACAAGACTTTTGCATCTTGGAAGGGACTGTAATCTACTGTAGTGAAGAACAGAGCCTCTCAATCAGGCGGGTGTAAATAAGAGACGGAGGGGAGCCCAAAAGAAAAGGAAGAGGAGGAAAAAAAAAAGCGTGTGTTGGGGGGAGCAGGCAAAAGCATTTTTGGTGGATGGTATGAAGCCAGCCATGGAAACTGCAGCCGAGGAAAATACTGAACAAAGCCAAGAGAGAAAAGGTACCCAGCGCTCTGACAATAGCCTGTTTAAAGCTTTTCACTGAGGGTGCTTGAAAAGGGTTAGCTGGGTTTTGTCCCTCTTTGAAAATGGCTCTGATACAATCCCTGTGGCATGAGCTTGTTTTCAGGGTGGTGGTTTCCTGTGGGCTGATGTTAAATTAACATTAGAGCAGCCTCTCGGCGACCTATTCCTGTTGCAAATCTTTCTACGGAAGGTGATCTTTCATAGAAGGATGTCTGCAGTTTGTCACCTTGGGTGGCTGGGCTGGGAAAACTGTCTTTTTATTAATATTGTTAATCATAATTGAGGTGCTATGTTCTGCATGTGCTATTCCAGGGACATGGAATGTGTGTCTTCTGCTAACGCCGAGGAGGAACTAAAGGGGCATGCATGCTAATTATGCTTTAGTTACGCTACTACAGTACTGGTTTGGACCTTTTCTGATTTTCTTAATCTAACGTGATTGTTCTTTCCATGTATCAGGCCCTAACTGTGACATGTAATAATCATTTACAGTTGGAACTTGAGAGGGAGGATCTCGGCTCTGTCGCCTAGTGCTGATGGGGTGGGGAGGTCTCCTGCTAATTACAACATGAAAGATTGGGGTAGGAAAATTAAGACAAGTCTTGTTCCTTAAAGGTAATGGTGGGCTATGTCACACATTTTATACATAAGCTAGCTCCTGCAACAAATTGATGTTTTTATAGTAAGAAGGCGGCAGAAAATAGAGGCTAAAATTAATCTCTTTTGGTAAATCCTGACTGTCAAGTGTGCTGCCCCATGAAATCAGCTCGGCCACTGTTAGGTTAATGACATAGGACTGCGTCATAATTAATGTCCCTCGCTTGAAGTTGTAGACGGTCATAAATGTGTGAAAACATGTTCTATAACTGCAGTGACTTTGGTAGCAAAAGTCGTCATGCTAAGGTTATTCCATGGCCCTCAAGCAGGACAGTCGGTAAACTGTAGTAATTTCCCAGGATGCAGGCACGACTACATTTTCCTTGTGCCTGTGTAAGTTGAACCAGATGAAACTGCTAATAGTCAACCATTTTCAGCCTACAAAAAACAGCAAGTGCGTGTCGTTTGACTTAATAGCATGCTGGAGCAGAAGCTCCTTGTTTTTATATAGAATTTCTGTATATATTGGCATTTTATCTCAAACAGACCAATTTCATTTTTTACTTTATTTTTATAAAGTAGGATGAAACACAGATACCATCAATTTGCCATTTTAACCGTTTTTTAATTTTAGAACTCAGTGGCATTAAGCTGGCAATTTAATTTTAAACTTGATAGTTTAGTTCACTTCTTTAATCAAACCTACCTCTCCCCAACAAAAGACCACCTTTTCTTCTTATTTTTAAATCTGTTTGAGTGACCAGGCAGCCGGTAATACAAGAAGCTTTTAGGAATATTCACCAAACTGAGGAAGTGAGATAAAAGTTTAAAGATTCATGCCTAGGATCAGAGACTAAGTTGATTGCGTATTTGGAGAGCAAAATAGTGTAATAGAATTGTCTCGAAGAAGCCTATCACATTTACAGCAATTTGTTTTCATAAAGTAGATGGTTCTATTTCCTACATAGTTTTCGTTTTCACTAATACAATGTTTGCCTTTAGCAAATAAAATCATTTTGATCTCCGCAGGAACATACTTTTTGGTTTTTTTTTCTTCTCTCTCACTGAAGCAACCGAAGGATATATAACCAGTGTACAGTCCCTACTACACAACTGTGTGTCTTACCATTTTGTTTCATGAACTGTGATTAATTTTATGCCAATTAAATAATATTCAATAGCAGGTCTTACAAGTTACCGCTACATTGCTGACAACCTGTATTTGAAAACTCACAAGCTGTGATTTTAAGGACAGCATTAGAAATGAAAACAGCATTCCTGGAGGAACCTTTAAAATTACCAAAACTTATAAATACCAGCTGTTCATTAAATAATTCAAAACACCAAGGGATCAAAAGGTAGCATCACACACGAGATCGGTACATGCTTGAATAAGAATATTGGCCAGGATATTTATTTTTACTGATGTACAGCCATAAGGATTGTGATCATTTTGTGACCTTCCAAAGTGTTGATCTGGAGGGTGGTTTATCTGTTCATGTTCATTTAGATGAAGAAGTTCATAAACCAGCAGCCCAGAATCAAGATTCGCACAGGAGTGTCTGTATAGCTCCCCCAGATGGCTTGCCTGTTGCCTTAAGTTCCACATAAAACAATAGCCACACAAGCTGGGTGTGCTCATTCAGGCCCATATTTCCTCTAATTTATGGATAAATGTTTATTTCATTGAAAGTAACATTTACAGACTTGCCATCATTACTTACAGGATGTGAGATATAATCTTGGACCTGGTGGTTCCCCACCTCGCTTCACTTCTTCTCCTTTTTTTTTTTTAAAGTGTGTCAAGGGCCCTTGTTTCCTAAATTTAATCCTATACATTTTATCACTGCAAACTGAGTATTTTATGCACTGAGATTTTCCTCCTCTATTTCTCCTTCTTCACTTGTTTTTAATTGTTGGTGACAGAGAAAATCCTTGTCCCTTAATTTGGGATACTATTGTCCGCTGGATAGCTTGTGAATTAATAGCTTTGGATAATTATTACAGTGTGTATTAAGAATATAAATGAAGCTTAGATTTGTAAATTGGCCTCAGCTTTTCTAGTCTGTGTCCTTTCCCGGGAGGGAGTTTCCACAGGACAACACAACCCAGCTACTGTGATTCACTAACTCCTACCGAGAGAGCTGTTTCTTTTAAAACTAAATCAGAATGCCTTTGTTCCTATTTTGGACAAAATAATTCAAGGCTTTATAAAAGGAAAGCATTTGTATGTTTGAAATTGCCTCATTGCTTTTATCAAAGAATACTACTGGGTGACCAAAATTCACAAGAAGTGTTCAGAGATTTTAAAAGGAAAGCAAGCAGGTTTTCTCAGATGAATGTATGAAATGCTTAATTATTTCAAATGACAAGTTTTTAATTGATAACATTAAATTAAATCGAAGTGTGAGGGTTGAATAAGCAGATTCATTGAAAATGGAATAAATGGAGAAGATGAATACAGCGGAATTAAAGGAAATAGGTCATGGGACCCAGTAATAAAAAGACGGAGAACTGGGTTTCCATTTATGTCAGTGGAATATTACTTGATATGAATTCATTTGTGAAAACAAATGCATCCAGAATTTTAGGAGCATGTAATTACTAGGGAGAAAGGCAATTGAATCCCAGAAACTCTCCATACACTATTATGTAAAAAAATTGAGTATCTGTGATGAAAATTATTTTTATTATGTGTAGGAAATTGGATTCCACTGAAATAATTATAGTCAGGCTAGTCTAGTTCCTGTGAATCATGGCTGAAATAAATTCCAGAATCCAGGCATCAAATTAAGTTCCTAACCGCATAGGAAGAAAAATATAGTCAATTGGAAATAATGTTTAATTTACAATTAATTACAGGATATTGTCAGAGTAAGAAACACATTCAAATTATTGACTTGTTTAAAACACTAACAACTCCAGTTTAATGTTTTGATCTAGTAGATGTAATTTCTTACTTTTTTTAATTTAACAAAATGTGTGTGCCTTTGGATGTCCCTTTTTTGCTCAGAAAGAAGAGTACTTCTCCACCTTCTGAGCTTGTATGCTGTAACCTAAAGGGACACAGTTGACATTTCGCAATGGTCTATGAGCCAGTGAATTTCTATTGACATTTTCTAACTTTTTCTGTGAATAGGGCCCAGAGAAAGTTTTACATGTCATTATTTTCTGTGAGAATTTGCCAGGGTGGACATCTGAAGAGGCAATATCTGGGGACTAGGCTGTAGAGAAGGTGGCTGGCCAGATGGCATGGGACACATGTACGTATGATATGACATCCTTTGGGGACTTTTTTAAAAGAAAAATTAAGTATGGAGAAGGATCTCAAGGAGCCATTTGGTGATCTGCTACTTTTGTATCATCAATTCCACAAGCATGCTTTATGAGACCTGGCCTTGCTGAGCTTTTAGAAAAAGAATTCTGGCCTATGTCTGGAAATTTAGATTTGTCTTCCTTGAAATTGAATGTAAACCTGAATTCCGATTGCAAGTTTTAAGATCCCATTTCTCTGTTACTTGGAAATACAGGTCAAGTTAGAGTAAAATAATTTGCTAGTCTCACTGTCTCGGAGCATGCAAAAGAGCCAGGGTTCTTATGATATCAACTTCCCCTCACCAGGACTGGTGATGAATTGAATTGTTCCAAAGACACTCCCTTGCTTTCTTCTCCTTTGCACCAGATGTACATACACACGAGAAGACTGTTCAGGAAAAGGAGTGGCTGCGGGATGGAGGAAGAGCCAGATGCCTGTTGGCTTTGAGAGAGGGAGACTCCAATCCCTGCTTCACACATGTGCTTTGTTGTTTGTCGTTTATTTCTTCACTTATTCATCTAATAATGCTGTCATTTCAAAACTCATCCTTCCCTGTCTTCTTAGCTTATGTTCCAGGAGTGTGTGGAGCTAACTCCTCTTAGGCACTACAAGGAGTATAATCATGGCTTTAACCATAATTTTGCTGGTTGGTGGCAAATCAAATGGCACACAACAGTGCCACAGAGTAGAGTCTTGATTCCTAGCCAATCCAGCGGTATGGCTTTCTAAAGCATATAATAAGAGAAAATAAAATAATGTTCTGTTTTACAGACTGATTGTATTAACTACATTAATGGCTTAATAGAGTTAAGCCTTACTATGCTATATCCAATGCCAGGGTGCACATTGCTTTTCCATAAAAGGCCAGGTAGAAAATATTTTGGGCTTTGTAGGCCTCACATCTCTGTCCCACCTGCTCAGATTGGCCATTGCAGCGTGAAAGCAGCCATAGATAATATAGAAACAAATAGCTGGGATTGGGTTCCAGATAAATTTCATTACAAAAATAGATGCCCATGGTTTGCCAGCTTTTCTAATTTTTGTTGCTATGGCTTTCCTTTTATATTTTAACTAATCACTAAAAATGAAGGATGCCTGCTAGAGCCCTGAAAGACTTTGCCCAGCCAAGATGGTCCTTCTTGGCAGCTCACTGTTTGTCACTTAATTCCTTACAGGGAGAATTTCCTAGGTGCTAAAAATCATTCCAGCCGCAGTTCTGCTTGATCAGCCCTGTCACTGGTCACATTGTCTAAGTAAATAGCAGGAAGCAGAGAGAGGCATTGTTTTGCTTTCCTTCTCTCAGTTTCTCCTTGTTTGTGTCATGGCTGCACATGGTGACCATCACTTCACCTCTGTCTTCTGATCTCAAAGGGAGAACCCACTGCAGTCCTTCCCTGTAGAGCAGACGCCTTTTCCTCATTCTTGTCAGATGCTTAAACTGAAGAGGACATTTAATGAGCCACTCTAGCAAAGTCTGCTTGCAATCCGATGCCTCAGGTGTTGGAACCCTGTCCTTGGGAATAACATGAATATTGTGATCTCTGAGATTTGATAAATAGCCTTAAATTTAATGGCTCAATTCCAGCTTAGCTCAAGAGTATAAGATAGAAGTGGCTTTCTTCTCTTTCACATCTAAATATTTGCTTTTGTCAAAAGGCCTCCCCCGGAAGTAAGTCAAAGGAATTAGAAAACATTCATCTGCTTACCAATCCTACTTCTGTACCTACTAGCTTGCTGTATGTTTATGCTACATTAAGTATCTCAAGCATGACTGCCATTTTTTTCTCAAAAAGTACACCAGTATTGGAAGGTCTATGGTTTTTCATTGTTGTCATCCAGGAGCCAGTATCTGAGTACCAGGAATCTGCAGATGTCCCCATCTAGGTGAAGACATGAAGACAAGGTATGGAGGAAGCCTCTGAGTTGTGTGGCTTGGATAGGGTAGAAGTCAGCAAGGTTAAGAGGCCACTTCCAGGCCACAGGGTGCCAAGGTACTCCCTTGTTTTCAACCAACTCGTCAGCAAATGTTTATTGGGTACCAACTGTGTGCTGGGTATACAGAGATACAATTTGAAGAAGGCAGGTGAGGCTCAGCAGAAAAGTGCTTGCCTGCTGCAAATAAGGCCCTAGGTTAGATCCCCAGCACACAGTCCTACCCCAAAGAAAATGTTCACATCAAGAGTGACTGAGCTACTTAGATTCCTCTTGCTTGGGGGCCAATGAGAAGGGCTTACCACTTCACCAAGAGAAAATGGATTGAGCCATGAGGTGGCCTGACCTTCTGGCTCTTTCCATCAGCCTAACTGTATTTCTTTGCTTCCAAGAATGTATCACAACTTTTGTCTCTAAGAATCTTTTGAAATGGCAAACATCTAAATCCAAGAAAAGCTGAGAGGTTCAAACTTTCACCCTGAATTCGTATCAGTAGCTGAGAGCCTAGACCTTCTCTTGAGAGGACGCAGAAGCCCAGCTCACCTCCACACAGACCTCAGAAACATTCTCCTTGCATTTAACGGAATGCCTCTGCAAGAGTAGAAAACCAGCCAGCGCTCAGGACCTGGAGGATAGGGTAATGTTGAGTGAGCGCCCTCTGGAGGCCTACTTCCCAGGCGCACACCCAGGCTCCTCTGCCTGGTACCTGAATTACCGCGAGTGCTCATTCCTGTCTCATTGCTCTCCCTTTTTCATTTGGCAAGCTGAAATAATTATTTCATAGGATAATTGTGACAAATGAGGTAACAGGTATCATGTGCTTATCATTACTTAGCATACACTAAGCTTTCCATCAATTAGAATTGTGGCCATCATTATTAACAGAAAAAAAAAGTTTAATTGTGCAGTTCTGATCTTATCCAATTAACTTTAATTTTTCCTTTTTAGCAAGGCAATTTTATTTTACCTTTGAACCCAAGAGATTTTCTCTAAAACACCACCTAGTGAAGGATGTCTCTGCTTCCCAAGTGGAAACTTCTGGAGAGTTTTCAGACTTGGTGGAGAATAAAGTTGGCACTTTAGGCAGCTCTGTGGTGTTCAGTGGGCCTGAAGTGGGTGGTGGCAACAGCCTTGTGACATGGATATTTGTTGGTCTTCGTCTTCAGTGATCTGTGGTACCATATGGAACATTCGAACCCACTTTCCTGATGGAATCATAACTCAAGTCAACAACAGAGGCATTTTTTTAAAGTCCTTAAATATTTGTGGTACCCCCCAAAGGATATAACCCCTTATTCAGTTTTATGGGGTTTTCAGGGAGACAACTGGCCAGAGTGACTTGATGGCTTTTCAGGGACTTTGCAATCATAATTCATCTAGCAGTTGCCAGAAGCCTGCTCTGTGCAAGGCAAATTGGTAGGTATTTTCCTCTCCAAAGCTCAAAGAAGTGTGAAATATGGTCATATCACCAGAAAGAGACCTGATTCCCCAGGGAACCAATTGTCACCACTTTGAGTGAGTAGTGATGTGACCTGAGGCCAGCAGCTCTTTGTAAGATGGCAAGAGATCACTGAGGCTGGATTTAATCCAGAACATTCTAGGTTCTGACACACTGCGTTGAAGACGATGTGATACAGAATGCCACAGATGTCAGTGAAAGGACAGGCATTTGTTTGATTCAGAATTCAGCAGGCCATGGGACAATTTGCCAAATTTTTAGGATGTCAACTGGGGACCATTCTAGAGAGTGGGCCTTTATTCACCTTTGCTTGTACAGCTGGCAGTAATTATAGTGCTCTGTTAGTCTGAAAAGGAAATTGACAAAGAAAACTAGTGTGAGAAGCCAAAATTTAACTATAAATAGTATCTTGCCAAAATGAGCATTTCAAGAGGTGGATTTGGGGGGAAAAGGGAAGAAACTGAGCAGAGAAAACACAATTTTGGTGCTTCGTGTAAGCATAAATTCAAAGGTGGAGGAAGAACCTCCCTACATTATTATGCTGAGTTGATAAGTTGGTGCTGGAAGGTTGCATTTCAATACCATATTTTTTTGAACTCCCCATTCCTTTAACTATACAGTAAAAGAATAACATAAAATGCTGATATACAATCTTTGCTGGAGATAGAGACACTGACTCTTTGCCACCTGAAATTGGCAGTGAACAGCAGAGCTGAAATGGAAATTGGCAGGTACCACTGGATGTACCCAGGCTCAAAGAACCACCAGTACCATCCTGTGCCAACCCTGGGGGACAGGGCTAGCCCCTTGAGCAGTCCAGGTAAATACAGCCTTGGGGAGAATTCTAACAGCAAGTCAACTGTTATCTTTACTATGATTTGTAATGGCTCTTTCGGCTTGGTGATATTTCATGTTTTGCTTGATGCATTCATTTGTTGACATGGGCGTGGGTGCAATCGACATTTTGCAAATTTTTTGATCATCTTTCATTTTCTCTCTCCCTTTCCATTCCACCCCATCGTTCTGCACTTTATTCCCCCATCCCTTCTTTCCTCACCCCCCGACCTCTTCTTCTCAAAGAAAACAGTATGCAGTGAAGTATGTTTTTGGGTGAACCGTGAAATTCCAATAGGTGACTCAGTAGTAGGGAAGAGAGCCATATTTGTCCAACGTAAGGCCCAGAACTGGGAAAGGGCAGTAATGGAGCGTTGGACCTGAGGGTCCTGAGCAGCCCCAGTGCCTGTCCAGCCCTACCACTTGGCAACGTTTTCTCTTAATATCATTTATTGCCTCTGAGAAGGAAAAAACAAGCTGATGTAATCTTCACCGTATACTCAAATTCCACCAGGTAGGTCCACTGGGTCCGTTTTCCATTGTTGTTGCTCATGATGAACACTGGCCTCTCCGACTGCTGGGTGGTAGGTCTGAGTGAAATGTGTGCAAGTCTTCTTGGGGACCCAGAATGCTGAGCATTATGAGCATTCCCTCTCCCATGGACCCACGTCCCCATGGGACTTCGTATTCCACAACCCTGAAACTTAACTGATTTTTACCAACAATAAGCTATAGGTCAGACTGCATAAAGTATTGGTATAATGAGCTGGAAGTGGGTCAGACAAACACAGCAACAGCATTAAAGTATTACTGATTTTGTGTTAACCCATAATGTCACTTCTCCCAAATGGTTGCTTGCTTTTTGAGGACTAAGTCAGAAACAATGACAAGTAGCACTACAGAGAGACTGATCCTGAGATTTAGTGCAAGATATCAACCACTGAATGGCAGGCATAAAACCCACAACTTAATAAAACTCTCTCTGTGTCCTTTTAAGACCTAAATTGTGACATCAGGTTAAGTAACCTGAAATCTGACTTTGCAGTCACTTCTATATCTTGGGCTATGTGTTCCTTCATTCGACACATAGCTGTTAGGTGCTGGCTCCAAGGAAGTGTACATGTCTGCTCCTGGTTAGAAAGGCTAAGAAAGGATGGGCTGGGCATCCATTCTCAGAGATCCTTTAAAAGATGCAGAGGGTTCTGGAATCTTGATTATAGGCTGCCATTAGATGTGCTGTATTCATGCAATGCATTATGGATCAGCAATAAAAAGGAATGAAGTACTGATATGTGGAGTGGGACACGAGTGGCCATCGGGAGTGTGCTGCTAAGTAAAAGAAGCCAGACACAGAGGCCCGATACGTGATGACCATTTATATGAAATTTCTACAACTGGTGAATCTGCAGAGATAAAGAAATAGATTAGTGGGGGCCAGAGGCTGGGGGAAGTTGACAATGGAGATTAACTGCTGATAGGCTGGCCATAATGGTTCCCTTTTGAGGTAATGAAAGTGTTCCAAAATTAAAGTGTGGAGATGGTTACACAACTCTGGAAATCTACTGGAAACCATTGAATTATACACTTTAAACAGATACGTTTTATGGTATATAAATTATATCTCAAGCTATTTTGTAGAACCCCCCAACCCATTGGATGTCCATAATTCAAGGTGGTAGGTAAGGAAGGAATATTTTTCAGCATGACAAAAACATCCCCCCAATTTATCAGACACTACGGGTGAGGTAGAATGGTTCATTTTCAGAGTGTTTGATGATGCTAAGACAGTTGGAAATCCAGAAGGAACTTGAGTGTTTTAAATATTTTAATTCACTAAGCTATGAGGCAAAGAGTAAACAGTACACTGGGTGTGGTACCACAAGCCTATAATCCAAGCATGCTGGGAGGAAATTCATGAGTTTGAGCCTATCCTAGGTAACTTAGCAACTTAGTGAGATCCTGCCTCAAAAGATAAAGTGCTGACAGAGATAGCTAGTGCTAAGAGCTTGGGTTTAATACCCAGTACCACACAACAAAAAGAGTAAACACCAACTTGAGAAGGCGTGATATACCTCTGTCTGTAGTTGTTGATGACTTTCTCCAAGTGTTGTGCAGCTCCTTGCTGAGCATTGGAGGAAGATTTCTGTATCTTTCTATATTTTTGACAAAACCTTAGAGTACTGGCATTCAAGCAACAGTGCCACCTAAGAACAGAAATGCAAGACTCTGAAGTTAAGTTGTTTGAGAATTTGGAGAGTTTGGCTTTTCCAACGGCATATGGCATGATGCCACCCAAGGTCCAGGTACCATTCCCTGTGCAACCCATTAGCCTCTGCAGAGCCCGAGGCAGATAAGTGAAAATTGCCATCTGTCCCTTGTCCTCTGTCCGGGCCAGTTGGGTTTTTGGCACCAAGGACATTTGAGTCATCAGAGGTTTCGCTGTCAGCTAAATTACACAAGAACTAAAACTTTAAAAAGAAATCAAGAGTTTTGAGAGATTTTTAAAATTCTGGAATGACCCGACGTGACCTTATGAGGCTTGCATGGTATTGGGATGCCGGTGACATCACAAGTGAGACTTCTGTGAACTGGGGAAGAAATTAAATCACTGAGTTGGATTTAAATAAGTACCTATCTTCCCAGCTCCTGAAGTGCTTTCTACTCACACGTTGTTTAATGCGTGCATCTGCTGCAATCAGTCAAAATAAGATGCTTCGGAGGCGTAAACTGTGGGGAGCCAGCCACGGAGACCTTCATGCTTGATAGTGGAAAGATGACAGTACAGACCAGGGGTGAGACCTAACCCAGCCCTGTTAGTGCCTTTCCAGGCACTGGGAGGTTTTGTTGGCTCCAAAATCAATGCGGTTGCCATTCTGTACTTAGATCCCAAACCAGATGGTGTGAGGGAGAAAATAGAAAATTCCATATGGCTCTTGTGTGCTGCTTTTTTTAGGGGGAGGGGTAAAATTCTGTTTCTTTCCATGGAGGAATAAAGAGGTTTTCCTCCAGCCTGAATAGAAAGTCTTTGCCAGTAGAAAATGGCTCTCTCACCTGTGCAGTCAGTACGGGCGACACTTACTTAGTCCCCCCCGCCAAAGGTCAAGGTTGTTCCAGTCTCCTTGGCCTTGATATTTTTCATGTCTGTCCATCTTTCCTTTTTTTCTGTAATTTCCCAATAGAATCACATTTTTTAGGGCTCATTCACCATAGGTTTCTTTTTTTTCTTTCCATTGTTTTCAGCCCCGCTGGGGAGGTCATGTTAGCCAGAGAAAATCAAAGTGATTCCGGGCTGGAGAGATGGCTCAGTGGTCTAAAGCACATTCTTGAAACAAGCTTGGCAAAGGACAGGGACCGCGGTTCGATCCCCAGCACCACATGCCAGCCAGACCCGCCCCCTGGTGGGCTGAGCTGGCCACACACACACACACACACACAATAGATGCAATAAATAAATAAAAATAAAAAAATTAAAAAAATAAATTAAAAAAAAATCAAAGTGATTCCCTTGGAGCAACCCCTTGGGAGACTGCGTGGGGCCCAGACAGGCCTGCTACCTAGGGCGAGAAGGCTCCAAAAGAACAGCCAACACTAGAATCTGCACTCCCTGCTGCTGTAGATTGGGTTACAAAGGCTTCATAGAGTGGTAAGAGAATTTGGATCCTTTCGATCCTCTGTTCCAAAGGTGGGCTTTGATCCAGTAGAACTGGCACCCCTTGGGAGCTTTTTAGAAATGCAGAGTCTTGGGCCTCACCGAGCCATACTGAATCAGGGCCCCTCATTGTAATAAGATTTCCAGATAGGCACATGAAAGTTTGAGAAGCACTAGTTTAGAGCAAGAAGTGACATCATAGGAAGGAATTGAACATGTGAGCTTCCCTTATGAAATTTACAAATCTCTACCTTTGGAAATGAGAGAGAATGACTTAGGGTATTCTTCTTCTTTCCCTCCTTCTTTCTAGAGAAACATGGGTGAGAAGCACTGTGGCAGTCTTGTCATGCTAAGTCTTTCTTGGACTGCAAAACAGTGACCTTCATGCTCTTATCTACTTGTTTGATGAGAGAGATGAGGAAAGAACAGTGCCAGCAAGAAAGATTCCTTTTAGCAAACCAGGGACCAGAGGAGAATGTTGTTCTGAATGTGGAGAGGTTCTCAAATGACTCTCATCTCCTCTTTAATGTAACCCAGTGACATGGAAGATGCTGCGACTCAACGTGGGTTACAAACGAATGACTGTGCTGGGCTGTAGTTCACAATCCAGCCTGACAAGTGAGGAGGTAATAACCACCACCACCCCACCCTGCCTCACCCATCCCTTCATTCCAAATCCCAATTGCTATGATCCTGGTATGGAGCTGGCCATAGATGACTGCAGCAGTCCCAACAAAGAGAGTGCCCTCCTGCACGGAGAGAGGAGAGCTGAGTCTTGGAGCTCCACCAGAAGCCCTGGTGATAGTACTTGCATGGCCAAGAAAGGGTTCCTGAGCAGCCCTGGCTGCTTGGTGAGTTGGGGGGAGGAAGGACTGGCATCTTGAGGGCACTGCTGTGACTCAGGTTGCACTGTTCGAGGCTTTGCATCTGCCCAGGTGTGGCCTCAGGCAGGCAGCCTAAAAGCTATACCTTGATCCCTACCTCCTAGCTGCCCAAGGCTGAACCTGGGCTTTCCTTTTGCATGAGTCCTGTGAGATACTTGGATTTTGCCACTGAGAGGACAAGCACCACCATGTTCACTGTATTGTGGAACCTCTGTGTGGTTGAACATCCACCAGAACTGTGGGCTGGTGATATTGTGTGGGTCCGACGGCGCTGCCTGCCTATCCCCCAAATCTTGGTGCAGGAGCTTTCTGAGCCAGGACATTCTGAGTCAGTGGATACTTCCAGTCACTCAGGGCGTTTCTTGCCCAATGGAGGGAAATGCTGAATACCGTGCAAGCTTCCTGCAGCTTAGGCTCGTGCTGTAAAGGCTCAGAGTTTTTTAGGTTCTTTGC